GATGAGTTGAATGAGGGTAATTTGGATTTATACTTTGTCACGACAAAATGACGAAGTCCGATGGAAAAAAAATGCTCTCTTAAACAATAATTATAAAGGACCATGGACCTAGATACGGTATCATATAACATAAAAAAACCACATTAGAGTACTTTTATTTTTATAAGGTCATAATATAATTTTATAATACCTACTTAAAATAAAAACAAGATTCAAACATTGGTATACATACCTAACATAATATTATGTAATTGTATCGAGAACTAATCTAATTTAAAATAATTATTTACAAGATATTATACCTATATCACAAATAAACTGAAAGTAATTAATTTAATAAAAAATAGATTCATGAAAATATTTATGCCATCAATCCATTTTATAAAAAATTTTTGTAAAATTCTGATGACCATAGTTATAACTATAGATATTATAAAATTAACAAGAATATCAATGCTAATGATACCTACAAATTCTAAACTAAATAATGTTTTGCATTGAGGAAAGAACATAAAAATAAATTAAATATTACATTTCAAATAATATATTAAGAAATTAAAACGTTAAACCAAGATATATAATATTATAATAATATTTGTCTTAGTCATATGTCATAAAAAATCAAAATATATTACCCATACAAATAATGTATTAACTACTATTTATAATTTTATCATATTTTATGCTATTAAAATATGTATGTCACAAGGTTATATCATCGTTTGATATACCTACCATATTTTTTATTTTCATCATAATCAACTTGGATAAATATTATACTGTTTGTTGTTACGAATTATTTCCTATAGTCAACTACTTTGATTCACAAAACATGACACAACTATTTTTTTGTATACTTTCCTTTCAATCAAAATATTACGGTACCCAACAATCACGCAGTGGTCAGTTACTCTTTAAGTTTAGCCTATTTCCTTCCCCCAAATAAATTCCTACTTTAAACTATAGGCTAAATATTACTTGATGAGTTCAAAAATTGTATTATTATTTTTTTTTTTAATTGTATTTTTGAAATATAATATTATATACTAATAATTTATAATAAAATGAAAATAGTAGAACAACGTTATATTGATTATATTATATTTGCATGTTTGTGAATTTCTTATCTTTGATGTGAGTAATGTAACACACATAAATATATTATCTAATCAAATCTTGCAGTCATTATTACAGTTATATAATTTTATTTTTGATTTTATAACGGATTCAAATTTTGAAAATAACTGGACAAAAACGATTTTTGATAGGTATACAATGTAATAATCGATTAGTATTAAGCACATGTGTTTGGCTAACTAAACTCGAGCATAGGTCACCACAGCTGGTTAATGATCATGATGGTCTTTATCAACACGTAAGTATAGGTACATCACGGATATATCATATATAACCCCGGGGAAGCCGTAAGTATACTGGAAATAATGATAAATGAAATTCACATTAGTTTCTTAGTGTACAGCGTACGCCTCATGGAAACGCTTGAAGCCATTTTATTAGTGCCGAATGATTACAACCGGTTCACTACTATTTTCGAACACGTGCCAGTAGAACTGTAATAACTTTAAACGGTCATAATGTGAGCACTTAATATTAGGTTTGATCTTAAGTAGGATCCATTTTAGATGGTTTTAAAATAATATGATACGTTACATCTAAACTCCAAATACGAAAGTAATTGAATAATAACTTAGATAGGTACCTTTTTAATTTTCTTTTTACCGAATCTTATTGTCTTGATTTGATAATATATACTAATTCTAATAGTTTAATTTTTGTCTAATGAAAATATTCATAAAATTTAATTTAAATTAAGTTTTTATTTAAAATTTTTGATACATGAAATTGAATGCTTCATAACACAATTAGATCAATAATTTATAATAATTTATAGTTTTTTTGATTGACTGAAAAATTAGTAACTTTTACCATAATATATTCAATATGCTTATTGTTAAATTCAAAAATAACTACATTTAATTTTTAAATGCAATAATTAACAAAAATAAAATAAAATAATTTAAAACAACAATAATTGTCTTAAAATGTTTGTTTTTTAAAATAAAATTAAACATTTTAATCATTGTTAAAATTAGTGAAATATTAAAAACAATTTCTTTTTTATGTATAATATGCATTTTATTTAGCGTCGATCCATATAACATTTATATTTTTAAATGGTTCTTATGATGACTTTTTGTGACTACTGTCAACAACACGATCTAAATTATTTAGCCCTAAGATCACATTTTTAACTTTCGTAACCATTAATTATTAAAAGTTTTGAGGTTTTAACATTTTTATAATAAATTTAAATTGAATAAGAAATCATAGCAGTCTATTTTAATTATAGTAAATTAAATTAAGTATGAAATAATGGAAATGCCGAAACAGCAATTCCATTATGAATATATGATATGGAGACAATTATGTTGATATCTATTTTTTTTTTTTTTTTAGATACATTTTAAATCACATAATACCTACATATTATAATAACATAAATACATAATGCATATTACTGTAATAGGAAAACAATTTTGGATTAAGTAATAATTTGATGCCCCAATTAACAATTCAACAATCACAGTTTATTAAATCATATCATACCTATTCAAAATAATTCTATTGTATTAACGCTTCAATAAAACTTTAGACTAAATAATCTTGTCGATTAATCGCATTCAAATATTACGTCTTATTACAATTTTGAAACAACTAGTTTAAACAATCGAGTTACAAATAAGTAGATTTAAAATATTCTATTTCTTACGGAGACGTTTTAAGTTAAGTAAATTTTTTTTTTCTTTGTATTAATGTTTGTTTGTTAAAACCGTTCAGAAATAATATTCTGTGTATAAGCGATATTATTCTTCGTATGGACGTTTCTTTTAAAATGTATACCAATAAAGTTGTTTTGTTTTTGATATATTAACCATTGTTATTAGTAGAATAAGTAAAGAAATACCGAGGTATCTGTACTATATACGATATTATATAAGTTATTAAAGCAATTATTTCGTTTAAACTAATACGCCTCCGGATCAGAGTGAAATAAATTGTTTAACATATTTCATTAAGGTGAGCGTGAAAAGTAGTCTCATTCTCAATAGTCCACCTATTGTGTTTGCATAGAGTATATTTTAATAAACATCTATACCAAAAACAAATATTATATATCTTTCTTTCCTGTTTCAGCAGTTTAATACGTTTGGATATAATCCAACTAGGGTAAAATATTTATTTATTGTACAATACGTATCAAAATGTCTTTTTGAAACTAGTCTACTCTAAACTCGAAAAAAATTTATATATTGATTATTTATTATAATTTTTAGCAAAAAAAATGTCACAAAGTTTAGAATATGTGAAGAAACGTGTGTAATAACCAAGTATAATAGTATACATATTACATATAGGTAGATATTTTTCTTAAATTTGTATAATAATACGAATTATAAAAACTACGCTAAATTACGTTTTTCAGTTATGGATTTTTAATATAATTCAATAAATATGTTGTAACTATTGTAACATAATTTGATATCATAAACAATTTTTTTAGTAAGGTATTTTAACTTTCTAGGCCGCTAAACTATCTTTCCGTTTATCATTTCCTTCCGCTCCTACTATATATAACTGAATATTAAAAGTCACTGCTTTGCATCTTTCAAAATTATAATGTTTATATTTATTGTAGGTAGGTATCTATTTTAAACTTTTTAGAAAATATAATATTGTTTTATCTATTTAAAGGATATTATCTTTTGATTATAAAAACAAAATTATGTAATACACAACGCGTAAACGAAAATTTTCGCACACTGCGAATACTAAAGGATTACGAAATTAAAATAAAACATAATGTGAAAAGTACACAACATATACACGTATATTATATTATTATGTACAATATAATGTATAAAAGTACAAAATGAGTTGACAACTATACAAACAGAGCCCTCTAATATTGTTTTCGAAATATCAAGTAACTATATATACACGTTAACTGTACTATATTTACTACAGATCATATTTGATATCTAATAGATTTTGTTTTGTTGTATATCGGTTGGAAAAAAAAACTGAAAGTACATTTTATCGTGAATCGCTTCAGTCATGATGCTTCCAAACTACAGGGTTCTGCAATGTCCTTATTCCGTGGTTATAATCGTGCAGTGATTCACATTACAAATCGTGGCCAAATACAATAATAATTAGTTCATCGTTATATTCTGAGCATTCATTTCAACACAAAATTGAAGAATTATATAATATAAAATTATTTATAGTATATTATTATTTTTTTTTTTATTTAAAATACGGGTTGTAATGGTATAACATATAACCATACTGGAAATTACCGTCATTTGAGCGATTTATTGCAACCAACAAATAATTCATAAATAGGACAAAATTACCAAATAGGTAACACGTAGTCATTACACTTAAAAATATATAAAAAACAAAAAAACAATATGATATATAGAAATTATTTAATCTAGAAATAATAACTCTTTGTTATTTTTTTTATTTAGACTTAAACCAATTTATACGTATTGGTGAACTTTTGGGGTATCAGAATTGTATTTTTTTAAATTATTGCATACAACTTTTTGTAAACTATGAACTGTAATCGACCAAATTAGAATTTAATTATGTTACGCGTATAGTATAATAATGGTTTTTATAGCATTGAGTAATAACAAAGCTATGATTTCATGAAAATAATTAATAAAAAGTGTGCATTCGTTCAAAACCCAAAAAAACTTCGTATATAATATTATATAAGCATGCATATTACGATATTGTGTGGTGGTTCGACGTCGTCGATAAATCTAATATTATAATAACAAGTATGTAAAAAAAAAAAAACAAGTATTGATAGATATATATATATATATGCATAATATGATACATACGTGCATATTATACAGATCAAATATTATTATAATCGTATTATCTATCGACTTGGCACTTACCGGTTTAGTAAATATACGGCGGATCGGTTCGATAAATGTGTGGGCGTACGCAATATATATATATTGCCTTGGGTAATTACGTATATGTATTTATGTATATATACACGATATGCGATATACCTATATAGGTAACACGGTGTGTATCGGCGTGTGGCGTGTGTTGAATCCGTCGAGTCGATTAAATTCGGCACAAGACACGTCGTCGGCTATATTATAGCCGTAGGTATAATAGAAAAATGTACAAAATACAGCGCGTGTATTTTGTCGTCGTCCTATGCGCAAAATCGCGTCGGCCGCGGCGCCAAGTAAGTACCTATATCTGCGAGAGAGGGTCGTCGCTGCTCGGGCACCGGTAGTGTTTCCAACTCGCGATTACGGACGTGAATGGACGACGGTGTAGACGACAACGACTACGATGATGTTTCCAGACGCACACCCCTCGTCGAGGGTGTCGTCTTCCTTTCCGTCGGCGGCGCCCCCCACCCCCCCCCCCACACATCTGTTCCCGCGCACAGTATGGCGTGATCGTATTAATATTATTGTATTATAATCGGCCGAACTTCGGGGGAAGAAATACAATACATATTACGTACATTATGTACGTTAAACGATGTACATCACTGCTGCAGCGCCGTTCTCGCGCGGAGCGAAGAAAACCGGGTCAAGGCGATCGTCCTCGAAGAAAGAAAAAAAAATAGAAAATTTGCGACGGAAAATAATATTGCCTAGCTAAGCACAACGCATCCAACCTGCAATGCTTACACGCGTTATGATGATATATACAGATTGGGTTATAGGTTGAGTTATAGGTTAGGTGCCTAACCCATGTGGTAAAATATATCATAGTGCTTTTTTTTTTGTCTGTTTGACGCAAACCGCTTTCGTTGCTACTTGTTATATATCTGTCGGTTATTTTTGCGTTTTTTTAAACTGTACAGCTGGTTGACTTTTAGAAAAATATTGTTAAAATGACTTAGTCTCAAACATTAAAAACACCAAGAAATATGCGTGCTGTTGCGCACTGAAAATAATAAAATATGCACTTTAGAACAGAAAATTAAATAATGACTAAATACTTAACACCTACCTATACTTTTTTATTTATTCATGAATAATTCCAACATTGAAAATTTTAACAATTTTATTTTAAATCAAGGTTTCTATGTTTGTTCATAAATTTTACTTCTATAATTTTGCCGATTAGCAGCAACCGCAAGTTTGTTTTATTTTACTATATTGTCTATATTTATAGATCATTATTATACGAACTAATAACGACAATTTATTTACAGTAGATATATTATTTAGGCTCTGAAAGTCCAAAAAATAAATGTGAATACCTAGTGTTTAACTTCGTCATGTAATCGCAACAAGATTAAAATCTTATTTATTTTTAGCAATTTCACTTATACTACTATACCTACTACCTACTATGAGAACTGTATTAATCTTCGAATATGCGTTAAAAGCCACGATTATTAAAAGTGCCCTAAAAATCTTCATATCAAGAAATATACACTTAAAATTAAAAAAAACTTGCAAGTGGGTACTAAAAACTTTTAATATTAAATAGTAACGTAATATTTTTAGATAATAATCCTACTTTTTACAATTCGTTGTAATTAATAATGGAAAAGTAATTAAATGATAATAGTATTATAATTGTAGAATGAAAAAAATTAAAATAATGAAGTGTGTAATGACATAACGCGTAATAGTAATACGACCCTTGTTACATCGATAATTAGTTATTACTTATTACCAATTAAAAAAGTTATATCACAATAATTACAAACATTTGTAAAAGTTACAATTCTTTTTCCTGAAACTTAGTATTATTTAATTATCTTATACATTTTGAAAGGCATTGCTGTCTGCCATCTGGACAAAAAGGGTACATGGATCGCTAGTTGGCGGTTCCAACTGTTATATAAGTATTTGAATATTTTTATAAAAAAATTAAAAATATATTATTTTTTACGATTCCCAAAGTCGGTTAGAATAATAAAATTTGTCGTTTGAAAAAAAAGAATTTAGTACATTATTATTTAGAATTTAAATTTTAAATGAATAATATGCAACAAATCAGTGATACACATTTAGGGGGCTGTTAAATTCTCATAACTCCCACCTCCCACAGAAATATATTCTTTGATGAAAATGATTTTATAATCAAATTTAACAGTTTCTATGTTTATTACAAGTAATTTTATTACCATAAACACTACCCTAGAAGTGTATCTATTTATAACGAAAACATCAATACAGTATATAGTATAAACTTTCGATACACATTGTACATTATCGCACAAAATTACAAAATGCCGACAGGGTGGTATTATAATAATTTCTTAATTATATTATTTTACCCATCCCGTCAGATTTTCGTGAGTTAATGTATATATTATCATTATTATTAATATGTCAAACGAAAACCGACTTCGCGATTGTACGTTTCGAAGGACGGCGCAGCGGACGCGCGTGTGAAGGAACACGCCTGCTGGCGACGGGGCGTAAGTTAGAGAGACAAACGGGGTGGTGTCTTAATCATGTGGGAAACCCTTTTTGAACGCACCTGTGCGTATTTCGAAAAACCTTGACCGACTACATCATATTATAATTATAATATGATGTACAAAAATATATTGTAAATTGTGACTTTTATGCGGTTTTATATACAAAAAAAAATTATATATATTAACGTGTAAACCGAATACGCAATATGAGTCAATATTACAACAATTTTAAAGTTCTTAATTACATCAAAAATAATTAATTCTAAAAAAACATACAACACTATATATGAATCCGTGCGTATTTACTATTGTTTATATGACTATATATTACAATGTATTGCATACTGTACACATAGATACGCTAATTAAATAAAATATATGATTAAATAATTAAATTAATTTTAACCTTGTAAGATTTTGATTCGTGGACATATTTTGTTTTGTTATTTACTATAATACTGATAAAGCTAGTATTGTAGTTAAAAGAAAACAACGAGTAAATAAAGTAAACTTCGTGATGATTATGTAAATAATTTTTACCTATGTTTTTCATATGTAGAGTTATTAATTTTAATTAATAAAGATATGGAATATGTTTAAAATATTGTCTAGTGAGTACTCATAGGTTTTTTACTAATTCTCATTCGATAATACCATAAATATAAATGCATCTTCTTCTAAAACAGGTTTTAAATCAAAATCCCAAACATTCGTATAACATAACATAATATATTATATTACAAATTAATATAAATACATAAAAAAAACAACGTTAAACTAGTTTATATTAAAGGTTAAAAGTCATTACGCAAGTATGATTTCCGATGTTTCATGTGGAAGGAAGATACATATTTTGTCAAAATAATATGAACTTTACATTTATAACTTTCTCTAATGATTGGGAGTTTAATAATGTTATGTGTTCTTATCCCGTGTTTACCAATAAACATACTCATTAGTCATTAACTATGAATTTTACAACAAGCAAAAACGTGTTAAATTAAATAGCTAAAAAATAAATAAATACTTTTAATTGCTATAAAAATCTTAATAAAGAAATTAGTTAAATGAATGACGCCATTTTAACTGTTCATAAAATAGTTTTAAATGAATAAAATTAATGTTAAAAACGGTTATGTAAATATATAATGTTATAATAATTTTCAAAATATACGATAATTCACTTCCTATTATATTATATGTTATATATTTAATACCTAAAATTAGAAAGTTAGGAATAAAATATTGAAAAGTATATTTCTTACTTTATGGATATAAGTTTAAAATAAAATGTTTAGGTAAGTACCTAGATGCTAAACGATAATCCGGTATTTCGACAATCGTTTAGCGTGTACTCATCTATCTACGCATTCTACGTAGCTGAATATAATACACACTTAAACATCAATATCGTATCGGAGATTATTAGCATAAGATCAAATGTTATCACGCGATCCGAGTTAAATCGTTGTGTCGCGGTTTTATATGTGATGAATGATAATTGTAAATCATCGTCTTAGTCCTTAGATCTTAGATCACCACGGTGTAAGTTATACAGTATACTATACTGTAGTGCTGTTACGCATGCAGTGCCTATAATGATATAGTCTGTCCTCGGGCGTCAAACAATTATTATACCTGACCGATTACACGGGAGAGCGTGTAAATAGTTTTCTAAACATGGACGAAACGTGAATAGGTACGAAAAGAAAAAATCATTTTCAATCCGTCTATACCTCAAAAGTCTAAACACAAATTATTATTCGCATTTGCTGCGTGCCTGCAGCGTGTCAAATGTATAATATATTAATAGAGATATCGATTTCAAATGTTTTAGGTAATACAAGTTAAACCTTTATAGCCAGTTTCCCACGACTAATGCACTTACAAAGTTCACCAATAATTAAATGGGTAAGTAATTTATGTGTAGTGTTTCGACGATTGGTATATTTGTCAAGTACCTATATTTGTTAATGTTTTTGCTGTTATTTACCGTTTCTTTGACTATTGCTTCACATTTACCGACAACCATCGGAAAGAGCACTGGTGACCAATAATTTCATAAGTATACCGTCCTAACGGCATAACAAGTAATCGCGAATACCAAATATTCCCGAGTACATCAGTAATAGGAATACGGAATTTGGTAATACCTAAGATCTTATTCAATGGATACGTACTATGCGTAGACACATGATAATAAATATTATCATTTATCTCTCACATCATGTGAGAGTAAAAACGACCATACGACTGAGAATACGTCAATATCTGTCACCAAAGAAGTGTTTTACGCGTTATTTACCTGATGAACAATTTACACTCAATGTCTGCATGGTTATCTTTGTAAACGAATGTCAAAAACGTGTACATCAGAGACGACGGAAACATCGTATACTATATATATTCGAATTCATTTACCTCAGTTGTATAACTTAAAAATAAATTTTTACCCATACAAAATATAAAATGAATACTTTTACTTATTGTATTTAAAATAATAGGGATAAGTGCTATTGTATAGCAATCTTTTAAGTTGTTATAGAATTGTAACATTGGTGAAAATGTATCAAGTAAATTTGCCTATTACTACAACATTAATAAATGAATTACGAGTTGATAATTACTATTTCCATAAAATATACACGTATAGTGCTTTAAAATATAAAAATTAATGTATCGTAATATTCAAAAGTACAGGCAAAACGATATCTTACCACCATTACAAAATGTCGGGGGCCACTGCTCATTCCAGATTACAACCATGATGTATCTACTTAATTAAAATCATCGCCAAACATCAGTGAGTACTTCATCATTAATTACTTGGGAGCTATTTTACTTATAAACAATGAAAAAATAAAGATAATGCTGAGA